ACCTGTGTCACTCCGAATAGAGAGGTCGCCATGGCGACAGAAAAGAAGGCGTCGTTCATCTGCAGAAGGATAATGCCTGCTTGGGTGTTGTTAGCAGCCAGCGCCAGAGATGCAAATGTAAGCAATGCATACTGTACCGCCGCGTGGATTCTGGCTAGCCAGCCGCGCCCACCTGTCTGACCGCCCAGCCTGAAAAGCCAGAGGATAATGCGACCCGCCCCCGACTCAAGCGGTCGGGAAGAAGGAGGCCGACTCTTTTCCACCCACCCGACAGTCTTGTGACGATTGTCAACTGCTAGCGACTCCTCTGGATGGACGGACTTCATAATTGTGGTGACCTTCCCCTCTCTTTTACTGATTCACACACTATTGAGGACCGCTGGGGCCGTGCGACTACAGCAGTTGGCCGTTGAAATTAAGCCGGTTGGCTTTAACGTTGGTGTCCTATTCGGATTAGACTTTGTTCCAAAGTTTCACACCGCTGATTAGTGTTTAGCGAGGTAACTCTCTCGGGTCTGACAACAGATGTATGTAGACTCACAGTTTCGCGGAGTTTGATAAAACACCACGAGCCGAAGGTAAACCGGGGCTCCTGGGTGAGGTAGCTCCAGCGCCGGTGTTCGCCTCTCGCTCTTCCTGTGGTATGCAGTATGCACCCACAGTCACCTGGCCCGGTCACCTCCGCTGCGGGAGGCTGACCGAAGCAAAAGAGCTCTTTTGTGGACTGCCTAGTAGGCGTAAGTGTTTGGTCTCTTGGAAAGAGAGCACACAGTCGCAGCCTTCATCAGAATGTAAAACAACGTTAGCATGTCGACATCACCGCACGCCAACAGGTCGATAGCTGTTGTCACATTGGCGACTTGTCTCACTTGACAGAACTCAAATAGTCTGCAAGCTTGTGGCGGCCAGGCAGAACACAGAACGCAGGCAAATAGTACGCTGGAAAGGCTGAGTTGTGCATTCAGCGAAACGCCTGCTGCCACGCTCTTTCTTGTACTTGATCAATAGCTCATTTATTATATGACTTGAGCGTATGGCTACCCGTTGAAAGACTATAAACTGCCAAACGCCACCGCCCTTTTGGGTTGAGGACCAAACAAACTAAGCTCATGCAAAGTGACGCAAATGCACAGAACATTAAAAATTGACGTCTTTTGCTGTTTTTCTTCTCATTTAGCAGTGCCTTTTATAATGAGCATTGTCTACCCTCCTTCTTTTTCAGCTTACTATGTAGTTTGCAGGTTTCTAAGGAAACTGAACTTCACAATTCACATAGAATGCTCCGTTCGTGCGCAACCTACATTCTAGAATCTAGATGAATCTTGACAGAGGCCAGAGAGTAGCCAGGTTGTTGGAAATCTGTCAGGCGCCCTGAGCAAAAAGCTCAGGGAACACCCACACTGCGACCTAGTAGGGCCCTGTGAGAGCGTGTCCAGACTTTGGAGTGCCCTAACCCGCGCCCCGTAAGGCTATCGGCGGACCCTCCACCCGTAGGAGGGGGCCCGGCCGCCCCTAAGATCTTGGAAATTTACCGGCCGATTTTCAAAGTTCAAACGGTGTATGATAGCCCCACCGGGGAACTACCTTTTGACCAAATTTCATTGACCTAGGTCAAACCGATGACGTCACAGGTCAGGTCAAAGGTCGGATTTTCCCCGTTCACAGGCATTTCAAGAAATGCGTTGTGAAATCGAGTAAATTGGTAAGTTATTGAAAACCATCGATGGTACACTGTTCGTCAAACACATACTTTGCTATCTGAGGTCACTGATACCAGGTCAGGTCTTAGAGGTCAGGTCACTGGGGGGTCACAATATGAAAGTGTCGTGTGATACATACTTTATGGTCCATTTTACATGACAAATGCGATTATGTGGGTCAGGCAGCCTTTGGGGCCAGCTTAGGTCACGTTTTGGTCAAGGTCAGGTCAAGGTCAGGTCAAATTAGGTCAAATTTCAAAGTTGATATTTTTGCATAAAATGGGCATCGACGCGATGCATCTCGTCACGGGGAGTCTAATAGTGGTTTTTGTTTTGTCCTACGTGGTCTAGAATTGTCAAAAATTGAGTTTAAAAATTTGACGTCATCATTTTTGTAGTTTTTTTTTTCGCTATAACTTGGCCACAAAACGAGATATCGATCTGAAATTTGGTATGTAGATAGAAGACGGTAGGTACTATCACATGTGTTCCATTTTTTCGAAATTCAAAAAACTTTTTGGATTTTTTGGCTAATATATAACAAAAATGCTTTCCTTATTTTTGGGGGTCAAAACCCAAAAAAAAAATAAAAAATCCGAGATGGCACTTTTGTAGCCTTGTTAATTCTACATCTTTTATGACTTGATCATTTTTCTGTATCTTCAAAGCTGTAGGCCTAGGCCTGACAGCTCTTCTCGCAAAGGTCTTTTTTTCGGTCGAAAATGACAGAACATGACGTCATTCTGACGTCATTTGTGGCCAACCCATCAAGCCTCTGAAAACAATTTTGGTCACAATGTGTAAAATTGATGCTAGGAGGGGTCCTGAAAGCTTGATGGCGATATCTCCAGCCGTTTAGGAGATATCGACGGAAAAGGAAAGGGGGGGGGGCGTTTCGCCCCACCCCCCCTTACGGGGCGCGGGCTAACCCGTCAATGTTACGGAATGTACTTGAACGTATGTATGTACTTGAACTCACCATGTTATGGCTTTTATCTATTGTGGCGTGGTTGTGGTAAAATTTCCAAACAGCATTCTGCGCGATTCAGGGCCATATGGTACCTGAAAATGGCAGGCTGGCAATAAAAAAAAAGAAGTGAAAAGTTGTGAGGGCTGCCGGCCAATACCGATGGAAAACATATATAAACACCCGTCTGCCCAGTGTCAGTAGCAGTATTTTGTCGATCAATAACTAGAGCTAGTAATTGTATTTGTTTCGATATCATTCATAACATTTTTAACAACTGCCCCCATTGACGTTCCGGAACTATACACACCGCCCAACCCCTTCGTGCTCATAAAATAGTTGGTCCACCAATTGCTGGCAATATTTCGTCCCCCAAAATGGTGATGGCTGTCTAACGATTCGATTAATTCTGTTTCATCAGCCCATACCATACATCCTGCAATAGCATTGTGCTATACAACCACCCGCGTCCCACGGGCATGTTTTCCTCAGCCCCATACTTTGCCGCTCATCATTCACCAGTGGCATTTACGCTCCACCTTTTCGAAAAGAGAATGTGTCCCGCTGACATATCGACAGCCGTCGCGCGCCACCGATTCAGCATATGACCTTGTTCGCCATCAATGAGGTCTAGGGCTGGGCTCAAGCGGCATGAATAGAGGGCGAGGATGCATCATTGATCCAGGTGGCTGTTGCTTCGCCCTACCGGACACTGCCAGCGCATCAATGGAAGCGGAACATGCTTTCAGTTCCTCTGTGAGCATTGGAACACTGTTCGCCGCTTTTTTATACTTCGGTCGCCGAATACCGATCGGCGATGGACAATGTACAATCAAGAGCTTTTACAGCATTAATCATCATCATTATTGTCATTACCATCATCATAATTACCATCATCATCATCATCATCATCATCATCTTCATCATCATCATCAGTGGCAAATAGATAAAAACATATTCTTGATTTGACTGATACAAGAGAGAGAGAGAGAGAGAGAGAGAGAGAGAGAGAGAGGGAGAGAGAGAGAGAGAGAGAGAGAGAGAGAGAGAGAGAGAGAGAGAGAGAGAGAGAGAGGGAGAGAGAGCTGCTTTGTTCAACTTAGACACCAGACTCAATACTGATGACCAGGGTTGTATACCAATCAAGTCGATTGAATTGATTGATTTGTTTCAACGCGTATTTTGAGTTGATTGGATTGAGTCGATTGACTTTTCGAGATGACTGGTTGACTGACTCGTTTGACTTTAGCGACTGGTTGACTGATTTGATTCCCGAAAATTAGAGTGACTCGTATGATTGAGTCGATTGAATGGAAAGTTCAAATGTTTTAGTTGACGAAAAATAATGACACCAATTGATGACATCAAAGATCACAAAACTACACTGAAAACTGCTTGTCATCACAACTGCAATATGGGGTACATGGCCAAATAAAGAACAGGGCCTAAACATGAACAGCCAACTTTGACTTTCAACTGCAATAACTGCTCCAATCCTGGTGATAGAACTTGGCGATGCATCTACCTACCTATCTGCACTCAGCAGGAAACTTTTTTTTAATCCAGATGATACAGTGCAAGGCCCTATATACTAATAAAGTGTGATTGATTAATAATTCACATCTCCACATTTCCTCAGAAACAACCCACTGAACTCTATAAATATCTGAAACCCCTACAAAAAATAACTGAAACAAAAGCGCCGTTTTCGTCTCGGTAATTACGTTTTATAGCTAATTTGCTGCATTGTTTAATTTGCAGCAGAACGTTTGTTGATCCTTTTCTCCTGAGTGCCTAAGCATAACATATTTAATATATTTCATTTTCCTTAAAATATTTTACCGAATATTATTAAGTGGTTTTATTTCAAATGAAATAATAATTAAAACGAAATTAGTGCTGTACAACCGATTTATTTTATGATGATGTACCATACTACATGATAATCAATGACGTCATCTTACTAAAAAATCAAAAGACGTAGAATAAGGATTTATGTGGGATTTATAAAAGCTTAGCATACTTATTGGCAAAACGTTTTCTCGCACCGTGACGTTTTCGCGTTTAAATTTTCCTCTTGTTCCTACTTCCTTTGTCCTTAACTTATCCTGTGGTTCCAGAGTCCCTGTCCTCTCCATTTCCTTTTAAATATATTTTTAATCCTCATCCCTATCCCCCAGTCCTAACAGTTTCAAATTGTATTGCAATAAAATGTTTTGAATTCTTCACATAGGTACCTAGCATTGACATGCCACGTCCAGAGTCGTGGACCGCTAAATACTTCAAATCTCTTCCTTCTTAATCTGACAACATCCCACGTCTCAAATGCACATTGTGTGGAAAGATTTTTCAGGCTGCCCGTCAGTCTCTGTCTAACCGAAACCGTCACATGCAGGTAAGATATTTATTTCTATTTCCCTATGGTTAATATGTTATTGATGCATATTATCCATTAAAATAGACATGGTGTAGGGTGAATGGCCAAATCACGAACACTGCCAAAATCCGAGCAGCCAACTTTCAACTGCAATATCTGATATTTAGTGTAAATGGAGTTGGAATATGGCCAAAATTAAATTGACAGCTTTTAGGTGAAAGGTGGTGATTCGGGTTAAGGGGCGAGTCAACTACTGGGTTATTTTGCACCCATTGAATGAAACTTCTGCTCCAATTCTACCCATTGAACCTCAATATCATGATCCCATCTGTCCATCACTAGGTATCCTTCCTAATTACATAGAAACTTTGAATGGCATGGCAATTTATAATTTTAAATGACAATATTTTTATGTTTCTTCTGCAGGTAGGTAGGTAGGTAGGTATATCAGACTGCTATGGACACTTTTCCAAGTTGGTGGGGCAAAAAACCTAATGTATGTCTTGCTTTGAGTCGTTTGATTGAGTTGATTGATTCCTTTCATTGTCGCGTTTGAGTCGATTGAATCAATTCCCGAAAACTGCTCTGACTTGATTGATTTGATTGGTTTCCCAAATTTGTCGTGATTGAATTGATTGCTATTGATTGAGTCGTATACAACCCTGCTGATGACACCGTGAGCATTAAAGCCTGGTTGCAGCATTACCTGTACGTCTGTACAACCGTACCTATTCCCGATCTCATTGTTCCATCAAGCAATTTGCCATTTTTGTTTGCCATTATCAGTTGTTCACATTGATAGCTGATTACTAGGTACTGATAGCTCATTCAGTAAACACAAATGTATCAGATCATCACTGGATATTCGTGAATCAATGACACGTAACGAGCATTCGTTTCTTTGAATGCTCTGAGGACATTTCTTGATCATCGAACGATACTTGCACATGTCTACAATCAACACAGCATTGTCTGTCACTGTAAGCTCTCCACACTGAGGCCAGTTCTGCCCGCCTTCACTTCAGCGTTCCATGTGTCAAGGAGAGCACCTGCACTCCAGGAAAGAATTGGACCCTAAGTTCACCGGCCCTGACGGTAGGGAGAGGACCCGTTCGTCCCGTAAGGAGAAAGGGAGGGCCTTAACTTCACCGGCCCTGGCGGCAAAGACGCTTCTCATTACAGATGGTTCGACTCGGTGATCTTTTGTCAGTTGGAGAGAGCTGGTCGGGCAATCCGCTGGGGCAGAACGAAGCAGGACACTTCCCTGAAGAGCTAGTCGTCACAGCCATCGATGATCGACCCCACTTCATCATCAACCAGCTGGCGAACGGGTCGTACAGCTACGACGGCTACCTGTACCAGCTGTGGGAGATCCTCGCGCAGCAGCTGGAGCTACGGTACCGCATCCAGCCGCTGCTGAACGGCGGCGGGTACGGCTATCTGGACCCCAACGGCACGTGGACCGGCCTGGTGGGCGAGCTGGCGGCCGGCCGCGCAGACGTGGCGCTCAGCTGGCTCACCTACAGGGTGGACCGCGCCGCGGTGGTCCACTTTGTGGACGCGGTACCCGTGGAGCGCGACCAGTACGCCTTCTACGTGGCCGGCGGATCGGAGACCAGTCGCGGCCTCGACTCGGATGCGGTGGCTGCACTGCTGAGACCGCTCGATGCTGCCGTCTGGTGGACCCTGCTGACCTTCCTGCTGATCGTCTCCGCGCTGCTGCACGTCGTCGTGCGCTACAGTCGCCCCGGGGCAGAGACGCGCCGCACGGTCTCTGAGATGACGTGGGGCTCGTGTTTGTTCTTCAGCTTCATGACGCTGGTCGGCCAGGGTTGGGAGCGAACCCCGCGCTCGCTGGCCGCCCGACTGGTGACCCTCTCCAGCTGGATGCTCGGTTTTCTAATGTACTGCAGCTACACGGCCACGCTGACCTCCCGTCTGACCGTCAGCGACGTCAGCCGACCCATAAGCAGTCTGAGGGAGTTTTCCGAGCAGCCCGGCTGGACGTTCGCCATGGAGCCAGGCCTCGGTATTCTCAACGACTGGAGGAGCAGCGACGACGCCGTCGAACGCGAGCTCTACTGGCGCGCAGTCTCCGGAGAGGGATTCGTAGCCATCAACTTGACGACTGACACCATCCACGTCACCACACAGAGCCATGTGATGACCTTCATCGCTATCAACCGGCTCAGCTTCGTACTGGGGAACGAGGCCTGCAAACTCGTGCCGTTGCTGGACTACGTGCCGCCGAAGACCAACACCTACCTGGCGATCTCCAAGCGGCATAAGAAGCTGAAGAAGGCGCTGAACAAGCTGTTACTGAAGATGAACCAGGCCGGAACGGTGCAACGCCTGAGGAACAAATGGGTTTGGCACGGGGACGACTTCTGCGACTCTGTCGTCGTCATCAGACGTCTGAGCCACAATGATCTGGCCGCGGTTTTGATCATAGTTCCCTTGGCGTCGGCCGTTAGCCTGTGTATTCTCGCTGTTGAGCATTTGATCAGTAAGTTTAAGGTCGCGGAGAAGCTGAAGATTCGATGTTGGGGACAGCGTTTGCTAAACTGTTTGCGGCAAAAAGTTTATGACAGCGATCTCACAAGTTTCAAATGGGGTGGGTAGGTACTAGTTATGTAGTAAGACATTGCAGTTTTAATATTTCCAGGTACGAAAATTAAGAGAGCTGTTCTGTTTTGGCACACGACTGTTCCAAAGATAGGCTTGGCATGAACAGTGTAACCAGTTTTCATCGTTTGTTTCCCCGAAGCACTGCGTTTATCAAAGGTCAGGATGGCTGGATCCATGAATGTAAATACCATCCATATGTTGTTTAATCGAAATGTATCGAAAATGTAACTCTAGCTATTCTGATATCAATAAAAGTCTGGGTCTGAGCCATGCGCAATGCGCATACGGCACACGGAAGCCAAACGCGACATGCCTACATAAATGAATACGCAAATGAAATAAGCAATGGGCAACATATCACTCCACTGCACCAGCTGTCATGTGGCCAGGAAGTATAAGATCACGATTTTCGTAGGCTGCCTTCACGGCGTCACATTCCAAGGAGTGGGCCGTCCGCGTCGCTGCGCCTACATGCCATACTGTGCCGCCGAACGGGGCAGCTGTGCGGCACAGCATCCCCGCATTCCGACAGGGGCAGCGGCGCGGGGGATTGAATGACCACCAAGCCACACTGACACTGCCTACAAGGCTTGGCGGTGCGAATTGCGAAAAGGTTTAAAGACGTAAAACTATGTGCGATAAAATATCGATACTGACTTGGATCATTTGCTTTTTGCTGCAAACTATAAATAATGTTAACTCCGATGTTTTATAGACATGTTTAATCCGATAAACGTTCAATTGAAGCGAAGCCACACAGGAAGGTCAGGTAGGTGCTATTCTAAATCCCAGATCAGCTGTCTAATTTTGCATCTATGTACACAAGAGACCATTTTACTTTTGCACCGACCTACAGAAATAACGTGAGCTTCAAAAGCTCCGATCCTGGTTTCCTAAAAAAGTTATAATGCACTTCTGTCTGTTTCAGTACCGTCTGTCAATCGCCAGTGCCTTATTCTTTTGTACCAATAAATAGAGCCCAACTCCGTGCACGTCCCTCGGTGGATGTGCCGTGAGGAGGGATCAGAATGGAGCGGGAAGCTGGGAGCCGGGAGGAGAGTGCGAGGGTCCACTCAGTGTCTGTCGAAGGTCCCCCGCATCATCTCCCACCCCCCCGCCCCCGCCCCGCCTCCGCTCCCGCGCCCCCGCCGTCGGCGACGCTGTCCATCGGAGCTCTCACAATACAGCCACCTGTTCAGAGCTCTGTGGCCGACCCTAATCGACCCATCAGCCGTAATAGCGGCTGGCGGCGACGGCGGCGCGGCCGCGACACCCGCGGCGCACCCGCGGCGCGTGGCGCACTGCCGGCAATTATGCGCCGCGATCGCCACGCTGCGCCGCATCTCGACAAAGGTCAGAGAACGGTCGGGGGCGCGATCGGTCGAAGACAATGTCAGTCGAGTTGAGAGGGAGAGAGCGGAGACAATATCGGTGGGGCAGAGGGGCGGGATGGGTGGAGGGAGAGGGGCGGCACCCGGCCGATGACGGCAGCACGCTCCATTGACACCTGTCCGGCAGTGTCCACTGTCCGCCGGACACTGTCCGCCGGACACTGTCCCCGGGACACTCCCCGGCCCTATTGTCCCCTCGTTTGGCTGTCCACGGCAGCGTGAATCGCATCAGTCTAAATGCGATTATCGTTTCCCGCCGGCTGGCCCCCTATAGCCGGCAGAGGGTGATCATGTCACTGTTGGCAGCGCTCCACTGACCGGCGATGAATAGCTCGTCTCGGCCATAGAGCATCACCAAACATCCATCAGGCATACTGTCCGAGCCGGTCAAACTTCACCAAATGGACATTTAGGCCGGCGGCTCACTCCCTATACGAGCAGATGGCGCACTGTGGGCCCCCGCTGGCTGCAGTGGACCGCGGCTCATTAGTGTGTTCCGGGATCTCCTGGTTATGGGCCATGCTGACGTCATCCCTGTTCAGAGTGCACCTGCACTGTGCAGGATGTGCGCACTGCACAGTACCTGCCCTCCTTCCCCTCGCTCTGGGGCTGCTCATGGGTCGTTAATATGCAGGTACAGTTGTTACACTTTTACACACTCAGCTCGGGCTTGATGCAAGTAGCCACCGGTATTAGGTATAGTCGACTACAGAATGATGTTTCACTCCTCAGAAGCTATCAGTTGACCGGAGCGCTAAGTTGTGCCGTTTATCACGCAATTAAGCGTGTCGATTGTGAGCATTGGGACAAAGCTTAACTTTGTGAACTCAGCCCGTGTGATGCGGCACAGCCTACCACTCCAGGCAAATAATTGCCTGTGAAAAGTGGAACATCATTCTGTAGTCGACTATACACCTCTCTCCCTCCCTTTCTCTCTAGCTCTCTCCTTCTCTCTCTCTCATTCTCTCTATCCTCTCTCCATCCCTCCCTCCATCTCTCTTTCTTTCTCTTCCTGACCTGACCTCTGCAGGCTCTGCATCATCCCTCACTCTCTACAGTGCTGCACTAAGGCCAGGTCAACCATTCGCCCCGCCAAACCGTATAGCTAATGGTGCACAGACACGCGCTGATCGACCTGTGACACATTCACAGATACCATCGGCGCACTGTGTGCCGAGTGGGAGGGATGCGGGACGCCCCGCGGAGCTATTGTTCCGGTCGCACGGCGGCTGAACCTAACCGAACCAGGTGAGATTGGGGTGAAACCTGAGACAACAGTGTGTTGCTGTGTGCTTACTGTGCAAGATTTCTGAGACATTTTTTAGCTTCATTTTTTGCGCTTGGCTTATTCCACAATACTTCAAGCCAAAAGATTGCACAGTGTCCGGCTGATCCGGCTGATGCCTATGTAAAGATCAGGGTGAGACGTGGCTAATACGACGAGGGGAGACTCTTGTGAAACTCACAGAAATAAGTTCCTTTGTGCCTACAGATGTGTTCTAGGGGTCCCATCCGCACATTTCACGGCCTCCTCTATTGCCTCTCGTACATTATCCCTGTCCGGCAGTTGCCCGCGCTGTCTCGTTCGTTCCGTTTCCAAGCCGTGACCGCACACCCGCTCATTATTATTTGCCGCAGCGCTTTGGCGGTTCGTCTGCGGCGCGCTGTCCGCAGAGGCGGCCTCTTTGTCCACCGGCCTGCCCGTCTATTGACGGCTCATTTAGCACTGTTTTTGCCCCCCCCCCCTCGTCTCCGACGGTGCGGTCTCAAATGGTGGGAAGCGCCGCGCCGGTCTCGTCGCAGTAGAGCTGAGGTGCGTCATGTTTTGCCAGCGTCCATCTCACTCCAATTTCTCGCCTGAAGAAGGGACAGATGAATGAGCCCAACACAGGCGCCGATTCATTCCTGGCTGTGGCCGCCCCGGCATCCCGGTGTGGCAACAAACAAAGACATTCGTCTGCGGTGCGCCGACTGGTTTATGAGCTGTCACACATTTTTGGCACATTTTCTGCCGGTCGGCACGTCAGGGCACTGTCATTAGGTGCTGGAAACGGTGCGAAGCGCTCCGGAGAGAGCTGCGATGAACTGGGGATGGTGCGACGAGTGTTGGGTCGACACGACTCGGGAAGCGGAGAAGGACAGGGAGACAAGGTTTGAGGAAAAGGTAGGTGAAGATGCGGAGAGGAAGAGAGATCAGAGGAGAAGAGGAGAGAGAGAGAGAGAGAGAGAGAGAGAGAGAGAGAGAGAGAGAGAGAGAGAGAGAGAGAGAGAGAGAGAGAGAGAGAAAGAGAGCGAGAGATAGAAAGAGAGAGAGAAAAAAAAGAGAAAGAGAGAGAGAGAGAGAGAGAGAGAGAGAGAGAGAAGGAGAGAGAGAGAGAGAGAGAGAGAGAGAGAGAGAGAGAGAGAGAGAGAGAGAGAGAGAGAGAGAGAGAGAGAGAGAGAACATTTTAACAATAAATATAAGGCAATGTATTGCTATCATGCAACTCAGCAGGTACTGAATAGCTATTAAAAAAAAAAAAAACAGTCAATGTGAGATTAAAGTTGATAATCGCCCGCTAGGTACGTTAATTGCTGGAAGTTTAGGTGCAATCGAATCTCTCAATCTCTTTTTTTTTTCACTGCTTTTGGCTGGTAAGTCATCGCTACTTCTCCTCTAGTTATATCTTTTCTCATGCCATCTCTGCACAGCCATCGTTCCACTTTCATTTAAATTCAGATAGATCGCGTTTTATTCAACATGTATGGGACTGCGATTTCAGATTAAGTTGTCAGTAAGGGCGTCGGGCCGCTGGCAGCACACGATAAAAGGGCCACTAATAGCATCAGTTTGGTCTCCCGTCCCGTTTCTCAGCTAGCGGCAGGGGTCCAGCGGCCGCCTTTGTGGCCCATTGACATTAAATGCGATTTGATTTCACCATTTATGAGGCAGCGCGTGGTTTTTGCTGCAGGCACTTTGCAGGCGGTTCACAGCCGGCTCCCGCAGCGCTAGCGGCGCCACGGCGACGAGCGCGGCGCGATGGTGGCGCCGCCCGTGGCGGTCTGATGAAATACAACCGCTGTTTGAGCCGCTCATTTATGAGTTCGGACTTTCGGTATCGTGACTCGGGACTCAGGAGGCTGTGAAGTGTCAAATTCTGCAGGGTGGATATCCAACTTTTTACTTTTTTCGATTTTATGACAATTGAAATGCTTTCGGTTGCTGGTTTTCAACTCAGAAGGCGTTCTAAATTAATTTGGAAGCCTTATCTCTATTCATAGCAAGCGGAATTTGGCTTCGATGTCACAGTCACGGCTGGTGAGTGGTGTGTCTTCTGTAATTAGAGTTTGCACTTGTCTCTTGACTCTCATCTTGAGTACGCCTTTAGTTTTCGTTTCTCGTGAATGGAGAATGTACAATGAATTAATGTGAATGAATGTAAGTGAATTATTTCATTCTGAAGTGACATTTTTCGGACTTTCGCCAACTCGTGCGCTTTTATCTCTTCCTTGTTTCAGTTTGTTGTCGTCCCGTATGTAGTTCAGCTCTTTCTGCACTCTTTCGTTTCAGTGAAGCCTTTGGTGGAGCGAAAAGGGACAGCTTGGAAGCATCAGGCCCCCAGCTAAAACTCTACTCCAGGCTAACAACCCCTAATATTCCTCCTCTCCGACCGTTTCCACGTTTACAGCTATCCGCAAAACCGTGCACCGCGCACAATTCACGCTTCGTCGAAACGCGACAACACCATCTAGGTGTACCGGCAGATGTTCCCCGGCAACCGAAACGGCTGCGCGGCGCGTAAAGATGCCACTAACTCACCGGCAAGTGTCACCAACAAAAACGGTTTGAGGGGCTGCTCCGCTCTGCCACTGAACATGGACACTGATCACAGAGCGAATGTTATGTGTGGGACA